TGCGTGCGTGCGTGCGTGCGTGCGTGCGTGCGTGCGTGCGTGTGTGTGTGTGTGTGTGTGTGTGAGTGTGTGTGTGTGTGTTGGCGCAGGAAGGCGGAGGTGGAGGAGGGGGCGTGTCCTGGCTCAGCTCCATCCCACCTCGGGAACACCAACCAGGTGCAGCGGCTCCTCCTCCTCCTCCTCCCGGAGCTCCGCGGCTCGCAGCTCGGTGCTCAGACGGACCGAAGCCGCAGTGAGGCGCAGGGATGTCGGCGCGCTGACGGAGAGCCGCTCGGTGTTTCAGTGGACCGGCTGGAGAACAGAACCCTCCTCCTCTAAACCCGGACTCTGCGGGATCCGACCCGGATCCCTCGCAGCGCAGTTCGGATGGCTGGGCACGGCTGGGAGGACTGGTTCGAGCGGGAGGAGTTCATCGGACAGATCAGCGACATCCGAGTCCAGAACCTGCAAGGTAGGAGCATCCGGGTCGGTACCGCAGCCGGGACACCGTGCACGGCGAGCGCGCGCACGGCCCGTGAAGTTTGGTTCTGCTGGTGGGGTGAAACTGCGGAGGTATTCATGAGGGTCTCCCTCCTCCTCAGGAGCACTGTGCGTGATAAAGTTCAGAGGTTCGGCCCATTGATGTGGGGCAGGCTGGTTCTGTTGCATCCAGCTCATCCTGCAGGTTCTGAGCTACAGAACCGAGCCCCAAACACAGGACCTGCAGAGTCCCATAAAGGAACCCCTCAGCACGTGACTTGTTTACTAATTTACAGCCTATAGATCCATATGGGACCACCAGCAGGGACAGCAGGTATCCCTCCGCCGAGGGACTAGTTTTAGAAGCAGGTTAGAAACTCTTAAAATAAAAATTAAACCTGAAGTTGAATTTATTTTATTAAAAATTAATTCACAACAAAAGTTCACCTCAGGACAAACACAAAGTAAAATATAATTCTGTTAAATAAAAACAGACCCAGATTTAAATCTAAGGAGAAAAATGTAGCCATTTATAACAGCTAAATAACAGCTAAAAATCTTACAATGAAACTTGAGACGTAGAGTTAAAACAAGCAGAACAGAAGCTAAAATTAGCAAAACAGCAACTAGAAGCTAAATTGAACAAAACCATAAAGCTCAAAATGGCAAAACTTTCATTAAATGCTAAAAGTATAATAAGTCCAAAGCTAAAGATAAGCAAAACAACAGCTAAAAGCTAAGATCAACAGTATCTAGGATTAGCACGACAGTAGCTAAAAGCTAACAGAAGCTAAAAGATAAAATCAGCAAAAACATAAATAAAACCTAAAATTAGCTAAACTATAGCTGAATGCTAAAAGAACAACCTAAACATCMGGGTAATGCTAAATCAGCAAAACGGCAGCTTAAACCTAAAATTAGCAAAATTTTAACAAGAAGCTAAGGTTAGCATAGAAGTAGCTAAAAGCTAAGATTAAGAAAACAGGAATTAAATGCTAAAATTAGCATAAAGTTAAGATTGGAACAACAGTAGCTAAAATGTAAAATGATCAAAAACAATAGCTAAAGTTAAAAAGGGCAAAACTTTTTTGAACTCTAAAAGAAGTATTTAAGATAAGCAAAACAGCAGCTAAACGCTAAAATCAACACAGCCGTAGCTAAAAGCTAAGATTAGCACAACAGAAGCTAAATGATAAATCAACAAAACCATAAAAACAAGCTAAAATTAGCTAAACTGTAACTGAATACTGAAAGTAACAAAGCCAAAGCTAAAGYTGGCAAAACGACAGGCTAATGCTAAGATTAGCAAAATAGTAGCTATAAGCTCAAAACAGCAAAACGGTAGCTAAAACATCAAATTAATGCAATAGTAAATAAAAGCTAAGATTACCTGAAAGTTAAGATCAACACAAAACAACATTTTAAAGCTAAGATAATCTCAACAGTAGCTAAAAGCTTAGCTACAAAAACAGTAGCTTAAAGCTAATTTGTAAACTGTCCATCCATCTATTTTTTTTACCTACTTATTGTTTTTGGGTCAGTGTCGGTTTGACAGTTTTTGACTTTAGAAAGATTAAATGTTAGATTATAAACTGAACTTTTGTTGATAAATCATCCTGACTCTGGAAGCTGCAGACGCTCCGAACAAACGGATCTCAAATTAACAAACAAACAAACAAACCCAGAATCAGATTTCTGTGAGAAACTCTGATGTTTGGTGGAGAGGAAGTTTGTTCCAGGAAATAAAACATAGCGAGCAACTGTTGCCCTGGAAACACAGAGGCGAGACTCAGGCCTGACTCAGAGAGGAGAGAAAGTTCTGGATCGTCCAGCTGAGCAGAACCTGTGATGTTCTGCAGATCTGAACCGGACGTCCCCGACACGTTCCCGTCAACTCTGTGACGGCTCCACCGTCAGCAGGAAGCAGCGACCGCGGGGCCGTTACATAACGCCACGAAGATCAGAGCGACACATCATCATCATCATCATCATCATCATCATCATCATCATCATCACATCCCACACAGATCTGCCTCCCACCTCCGGAGCTGCAGCTCCAGGCAGCTCTGGTTCTGCTTGTTTATGGCTTCAGAGGTTTGGGAACAAAAACATCACTGCACAGACCTGAAGGCCGTGATGAAGATAAACTGTTTCATTTTCAGATAAAAACCAGATTAAACAGAGTCAGAGTCTCATCCTGAACCTGAACCCATCGTTCTGCTCAGGAACACGAACAGAACCGTTTAAATAAAACATTAATTTCTCTAAAAYCAGTTTTAAACGTTCAGTTAATAAAAACAGGAAATCCTCTCTCAGATGCTGTAAACTGATTATTTTTATTCTTTAATTCAATCCTGTCTCTGYAGAACTTCATGAGTCCAAACCATCAGACTCATCAGCAGAACTTTAGCTCTCATTAGCTTTCGGTTCATGTTCTGGTTCTTGGTTTTGAACGAGTTTTAGTGTCAAACTGGACTTCGGGTTCAGAAAAATTCTGTTTTTTAACCAGAGAAAATGGTATTTTCTGCAAAAACAGGCTAAATAAAAGTAGCAAAAGGCTAGCTAAAATTAGCAAAAGGTTAATTAAAACTAAGACTAGCTAAACATGTCAAAAGGAAGGAAGGAAGAATCTAAAAGCTATAAATATGATATAGGAAACTGATGAAGTGAGACAATGTTGGCGCCATATAAATTAACTGAAACTAAAAGTAGCAAAAGGCTACCTGAAAGTAGCAGAACAGTAGCTAAAAAAATAGTGAAATAGTAACTAAAAGCTGTAAATTTGCAAATCGCTAGGCAAAAAACAAAATGATACWGCTGATAAAGATGAATAAATGATTTAGGCTAAAGGCTAAATATCTCAGGGCAGTAGCTAAAAACTAAAAGTATTAAAAGGCTAGCTTAAAGCAGCTAAACAGTAACTAGAATAAGTAGCTATACGATAACTAAAACTAAAAGTAGCAGAGCAATAGCTAAAATAGCAAAAGGCTAGCTTAAAATTAAAAGTAGCAGTATGGTAGCTAAAAGCTAAAAGTAGCAATACAAAAGCTAAAAGTAGCAACATAGTAGCTAAAAGCTAAAAGTAGCATAATACAAAAGCAACGTTTGCTGCTTACAAATATTTTTTGAAGGACTTTAAAGAAATCTTAATGTATTTGTAAGGATAAATGTTTATAATGTTTTTTTTTAGCTGCTTCCATCTTCGGCTAGGCTCAAACCTTTAGCCTCAGATTATAAAACATCTGTAAATAAAGTTGCATATTTTAAAGTTGGTGGAGGTGAAGCAGATCTGTCAGATCTAAACCTGTAGGACGTCCTGATCGTTACAGAAACATGTTTTCAATCAGCTGTCAGCTGTATGTAAACAACTTTAGCTGCTGTCATCCACCTCCGGCTGTTTCTGTCATGTTCCTTGTCTTCATGCAGAAGAACAACGTGCCTGTTTGTTGTTCAGTACCTGCTGAGACCTGATCCAACCTGTGGGAGTCTGGATCCACCAGGCTGGCAGTAGAACTCCTTGTTTCGGCTGTTTTAGCTCATGTTTAAAGCAGCAGCTGATGGTGATGGAGCCTCCTGAGGTGTGATGTTCTGTCTGTTTTGAAACAAACTGTTGGACTCTGGTGACGCAGGCAGAACGTCCAGTTCTTCCTGGTGTTATTGTGTCATACGTGTTCAGAAACACGTGGAGGCTCCTGCAGACCTCAGTGACTCACATCTGTCTCACATGTCTCACCTGTCTCACATGTCTCATCTGTCTCACATGTCTCACCTGTCTCACCTGTTTTATCTGTCTCACATGTCTCATGTCTCATCTGTCTCATCTGTCTCACTTGTCTCATCTGTCTCACATGTCTTATCTGTCTCACCTGTCTCATCTGTCTCACCTGTCTCACCTGTCCCACCTGTCTCATCTCTCATCTGTCTCACATGTCTCATCTCTCATCTGTCTCACCTGTCTTATCTGTCTCACCTGTCTCATCTGTCTCACATGTCTCATCTCTCATCTGTCTCACATGTCTCATCTCTCATCTGTCTCACCTGTCTTATCTGTCTCACCTGTCTCATCTGTCTCACATGTCTCATCTCTCATCTGTCTCACATGTCTCATCTCTCATCTGTCTCACCTGTCTTATCTGTCTCACCTGTCTCACATGTCTCATCTCTCATCTGTCTCACCTGTCTTATCTGTCTCACCTGTCTCACATGTCTCATCTCTCACCTGTCTCACATGTCTCATCTATCTCACATGTCTCATCTCTCATCTGTCTCACCTGTCT